TTTCTTTTCTGTTTCATATTTGCTTATTTTCACGATGTCTTCTTAAGGTTTAGTTGGGGTTTTTTATAGTAATTTTTCCTCTTTTTTCTTTCTGAATTTTCTTTTGGTCACCAGGCAGGCTCTCTGTTGGATGTCACGACACTCGAGTTTTGTACACACACACAGAGGCACACACACACACACACACGCATACATACAGAGACACACACACATATGTATATATCATTATTATTATTATTATAAAAGATTATAATAAAAACATGTAGAAATCGCTACAAAAAAGCTTTCATGTTTCAATATTTTGATTCTCCTTTTTCAGGCGATGGTATGTAACATGAAGCTTGAACGCCTTTGTGTAGCCATTTCAACGTGTTTTTTATTATAATCTTTTATAATGAAAATAAAAGAAATTAAAAAAAATAATAACACTATTAATAATAATAATAATGATAATATATTGCTCTACTTTGTGCTGAGCACCTTTTTAAAAGTAAATGTTACGAACATTGGAATTTTACTTCATCTGTTCGTTCTCTCATTTGTATATATATATATATATATGTGTGTGTGTGTGTGTCTTGTTGAATCAGAAGTAACAGAAGCACACAATGCCAACAGAGGTCAATGTATGCGGCTACAATACATTTTCTAAAACTATATAAACAGAAAAAGCAATATATATGATTTGATTTTGATGGTAAAGGTTTGTGAAAAACCCTCTACACGTTTGAAGAAAGGATTCCAAGGAACTGATACACATAGTCTGCCACGAGGTCGCTAAACAATCTTCCTCGGCGTTTGAATTCATTGTTAGCTTTCTTTTGAACTGGTATTCTGTTCTCACTACTTATTACATATCTGTGGTGGTGGGTTCGATCATATACTCAAAAAATTGCAGTGTTTCTTGTTTTTATGTGCCGTGTCCTTTTAGGACGTAGACGATCATGGCTCTCCACTTCCCCACAAATTTCCGTCGCCTCTGCCATTTCCCCCAGACCACGTTCTGTCATTCACTTGCTTGACCCCGCTAGGTACACCATGTGTTTTTTTCCATGGTTTCTCTTTCCCTCTTTTCGACCCATGAGTATCATATTCTCCAGGCCCTTCTTTCTCATTGCGTTTCACAGAAACTTCAGCTTGTTTCTTCCTGATGTTAAGTATAAGCATCCTCCTTTTTGCATCCTCTCTAAGACCTCATCGTTACTACACGCACGGTCAATGATATCCTCAGGCTCCTTCTGAAGAACGACATCTACATCGCCTCGAGTCTGTTCTTAATCTTTCAGGAAACCGTCACTGCCGTAAAGAAAGGCAGTTGTCACGTAACAACTCAATACTCTTTTTTTTGTTACCAAAGAAATCCTCCTGTCTCTCAATACTCTACCCAGCATTTGGAATGCGTCCTTGGCCATCCCACTAACATGTATATACGAAAAATAAACCGGTATGTCAAAACGACGTGTTTTCTCTTGACAACGATATTACTGTAATTATTCGGCCATTTTTACGTTTTAAAAATCCATTTTTACAATGTTAATAAAACCCAAATTGGATTTATGCTTTCTCTTTTAGATCCTGAAACGGCAGTAAAAGTATTTCTCATTCATTTCGTATTCTCTCCTTCCAAATCAATGCATACCCACCGAAAATTTAATAACTAAATAATAACTAAATTTTAATAAAAATAAACAGTAGTAAATTATTTGTAAAATACTAAAGTCATTAAGAACAGATAAAACATTGCTTAAATGCAAATTCTAAACTTGCAACGCATTACCAAATGACGAAATAAAACATTAAACCGATGGCGCACCCGTTAATAACCCGGATGATCAGTTACAGACAATCCGATACAATGGCCGCCATAAAAACACAAATAAGAGGAAATAATCATTTTCTCAAGTCTCATTAGCCCAATTCAAAAACCGTTATAATAACACAACTTTCCTTCCTATACGTATATAAGTAGTTGAGTTACTCTTCCACCAAAATGGCATGACGATTGAGCTTAAACATGAAAAAAACTGTCGCCACCCAATCTTGATACCAATGTCCACACTACTTATATTTGATATTTAGCAGATATTGAGCACTTTTTCTCCCATATGCATAGTATGCCTTAAAAACTATATTTTATCACACACACACACACACACACACACACACATATATATATATATATATATATATATATATATATATATATATATATATATTGGACTCTTCTGACAGCCCAAACCAGCACATATGGTTTGAAGGGCAGAATATAGAGACATTGTGCACTACGTGCCACAAGGTCCCCAAACGACCCTCCGCAGTTTTTAAATACAGTGTCCAGTTCCCATAGAACCCAGTCTGTCCTGCTATTTACCCATAGCTGGAGGGAGAAGAAGACAATTAATATCTTTCCCAAGGATATTAGCACGTAAGTGAATGTAATGGATTCGACTGCAATATACATATATATATATATATATATATATATATATATATATATATATATATATATATATATATATATATATATATATATATATATATATGAACCTATTAATTTATTAAATCAATAAGATTTTAAATAGGCGTATGCCTAGGAAATCCTGATTATTGTAATAGAGGCTCTGTGTTTTAATTTTCTATTTTCTTCTGTCACGTGGTTTTATGCTAATTAGTTTTTAGGGGTTTATCAATAAATACTGTTTCATTTCTTCTTTAGCCAGCTTACCGTGAAGATCTGTTTAATTGAGACCTGCGTAGGTTTTCCTGGGTCTTTAGGATTTATTTGATTTATCCCAGCTCTACTTAGCGTATTGAGCACTCTAAGTTTTAGCTTTATTCGTCGTTTGGGTTTTTTTCTCTGAACTAAAGACTTAAGGCACTGGACGATTTATTGCGCCCTGTCCGAAAACAAAGAAAATCCTTATTAAACAAAGACGCAGAAATAGTTAGTTAGTTGGAGTTGGGGAGACGCAGACGCAGACAGAGTTGAGCTGGGAGCTCTGAAACCAGCCTCACAGGAAGCTGACTGAAGATCCACGCATCCCGACTTCGACTTCTAACCAAGAACAATTTATTTTTGAAGAACGACTTAGACTCACACCACCAAAACAAGTTTTGCGAATATCGCCTGAAGACACCAAAAACCAGTTATCGAAAAACAACTTAAGATATTAAGAGTCGCCTAACAAACACAAAGTGTCACGTATCCATAGAAGCGGTTTGGGAGAAAGAAGCAGTCCTGTATTCAGCAACCAGATAAAAAGATATGTGTTATTCTTTTTTTAACACATTTGAACTTCTCGAGTTGTTACTTTATTTTCTTTTACATATACTTGTGTGTTGGTGCCTTTGCTCGGACTCGGCATGCATTACGGCCCGGCGACTGATTGATTTTGTCTACCTAAGATTAGACTAAAGGTCAATGCAGTTACTTCGGTAACCAGACGTTGGAGGCGAGCTGGGAACGACAAAGCTGATACCGAATCTAACCAGACTCCCATCCGAATCAGCCAAGGGTTAGAAAGTCACATTTGGCGCCGCGACCAATACCATGTCACATTGGTCGTCACAGGATAGCACGGGCGCGAGAGAGGCCGCGGGGGTGACGTCACAAATAATATATATATATATATATATATATATATATATATATGTGTGTGTGTGTGTGTGTGTGTGTGTGTGTTGGTTACACCACAAACATGCTTTCACGACGCTTGAATCTACATTTGAATGATAACTCTAACATTTTTAGCCATTTAAAACAACATGCCTGGCCGGATACACAATTCCGGAAAATTCTCATTGAAAACACAACTATACTTAAACATGAAAACAATAAACAAAAACTAAAAAATCTTGAAGTTATATACATAAAACAGTTGAAAACTAAGCTGAACAAAATAAACTATGAAATCTCCCAAAATATTCTTAAATGCCTCCAAATGATAATAAAGCCATTCGTTTATACCAACGGGTTCCCATACTTAATACGTCCCGTTTTCACTCTCGCGTGGTCATCTGCGACGTCACGAAATGCCGTGCGATTTTCGCTTCCCCGTCTCGTATACACGAGTTTGTCGTTGCTTGGAAATCTTTCATGCAACAAAAAAAGATTATCATTAGTGTTTTGTACATGTATTTTTTAATATATTGAAATGTAATTGTCATCTTTGATAATTTACTTAAAATAAATAGACAAAATTTGTCTATATTATTTAATGAAACATGCATCCATATATATATATATATATATATATATATATATATATATACTGAGTATTTATATATATATATATATATATATATATATATATATATATATATATATGTGTGTGTGTGTGTGTGTGTGTGTGTGTGTGTGTACTGGAATATATATATATATATATATATATATCATGAAATGGATTAAATCAAGCAAATATTTTATTATAATTTCTGTTCTTACGGCTTTTTTGTTTTGTTTTTTTATGAATACACTTATTAGAGTAAATGCTCTTTTTTATAATAAATTACATTTACCGGCCTGGATGAAAAGTTCGTAGAAAATATGCGTCTTCTGACAGGAATCAAATCTGTTCCCTGTATGGAAGCGTCATTTAGCCTGATGTGCTATAAACTTCAGCCACAGTTGACTTCCTGTTTAGCAAAGCTCGAATATATAGGCCGGTAAATGCAATTAACACTGTTTATTTAAAAAGATATATCATTTACTCAAATAATTTTATCTCTAAACAAACGTATAAGCAGAAAATATATTAGAATATTTATCTTATTTAATCCATTTCATATAACATGTTGTCATTGTTTACGTTAGACTACAATTTCAAAGCAGTTATGATAGATCGAAAAAATCAGCAAAGTTGTGTGTTTAAAAGCAGTAATTTGAACTTTGCTAAAACGTTTCGCGTAAATAAATATATCGAACCAAGCTGAAATTGGAACTCGGCTCTCCGATTTACAATTCTGAGCCATTATATATTACACCATCCGTATATCCAACCTTACAGCACCTGGTATTGCCAAGTGATCCCCTATCTAGTTATTGACCAGATTCGACGTTGCTTAACTTCGAGGCTCGCATGGGAACTGGTGTTTCAACATGATATGGCCGTAAACCGGAAGTAAAATTTGGTAGGGAGTGAACAATAAGGAGGATGGTGGATGACTGACCGTTAATGGAAAAATGAACCTCCTTAAAAAAAAAAGGATCCTTAAAATCCAAAAGTGATACTGTGCCTTCCTATCAAATACGTTTTCGGTGTACGGATATAGCTGAACGATTATCCATTAATCTACCAGCACATCTAAGCTTACAGATACCGATAATCCTAAGCGGTCACTTATCTATGTACAGAGCAGGCTCGACTTAACTTCTATGATCCTGTCTATATTTCTGAGATGAGGTATTATGTACATTATTTACATTATTCAGACTATTGAAATCATCTTTGTCGCCATATTTGTCATAACTGGATCTAACTAATGCCTTTATGCCCTATGCCATGTGTCGTCAAGGACACATGGCACAGTGGATAAAGTCGTTAGTTACGACCATATTAGCCATTTCTACTGATATGAAATGGAAGGATAATATTGAATCCTAGGCCTGATACTAGGACAGGTGGTTCATTGTTTCGTGCTAGAAGATTTTTCTAGACAGAATCTGTCATACATATCAAGGACTCGTGGCACAGTGGATAAAGGCGTTAGTTAGATCCAGTGACAGGAGTGAGTTCAATACCCGGCTAAGGCAGTGGAGACCATTTCAGAGAGAAATTAACAGGTGATAACTGATAACTGACAACCATTAAAACATGGCACGTGGAACTAGAACAGTCTACTCCAGTGAGCGAAATAAAGGGTTCTGTTCGACATTCCAACCACCTGAAGAAGGCCGAAACGGCCAAAACGTTGTGATAAATATCGCGACAAAGATAAGGACAATAGTCCGAATAATGTAAATAATGTACATAATGCCTCATCTCAGAAATATAGACAGATAATGAAAGGTCGAAACGATAGTCCGAATAATGTAAATAATGTATATAATACCTCATCTCAGAAATATAGACAGATACATTCGACAATTTGTATTGAAATATATACAGAAAACAAAAATATCTAAGCTTTACAGATACCGTTATTCCTAAGCGGTCACTCATGTATGTACAAACCAGCCTCGACTTAACTTTTTGATCGTATGGGGACCAATGTTACAAGCTGATATGGTCGTAAGCCCTCGAGTGTATACAACTTACACATACCTTTTGACTGAAGTGTAAACCTTACCTATGTCTACTTTTTTTTACTCTACTTTAAATGAGACCGAGGACAACTTTTTTCACTGTAATGTAAAACCGGATCTATGTCTACATTTTTAACAATTCATTGTGGTTTTTTGTCCGATCAGAATTATATTCGACATTAAATAACCCAACAAGACTTGATATGTCGTTAAACCAACCTAACCTAGCAATATGATATGTTTCAATTTCACCAACAAACGACTGCGCAGATGTGCGCATGCGTGTGAAGACTACGTTTCCATCGAAGCAAACTGGAGTTGCGGCGACATGCTTGTGCGCGTGCGTGAGCGTCAACTGGCATTTAGTCACGTCCTTTGCAATCATGATTAACTTTTTTTTTATTATATGCAGATTAAAAACAGATTCTTTTCAGAGTGAGCACATTTTTTTATATATATTTTTTTTACATTCAGTTACATTTTCTTTCTTTAGTTTTTATTTTTTTTTCTTCCATTATGAATTCTTTTCTTGTTTTTCTTTCATTTACACCAATATTTCTCTGTGCTGCGTTTCAACAGAACATTATTCTTAGTCAAGACGTTTAATCCAAAAGTAATTATTACTCATATAATATTATATTATTATACAATAAAATATGTAAATATTAATCCCATAATATATTACTATACAACAGAAAACTCAGATCAAAATTTGCTAATAATCAGACCTCCCCAGTGCGCGCGCACGCACACACACACACACACACACACACACACACACACATATATATATATATATATATATATATATATGCATCTTTCATTGAAAACGGCCGACAAGGAAGACATAATTAATCTTTTATTCAGTTTTTCCAACAATTTTTCCGTTTTTCAGGGGTTAAAGAATATAGGAATTATCCATAGTTATAATTATTACGAGCGTTTTCGGCTATTTCTCTAGCCATTATCAAGGATGTGTTTTTGGATGGTGAAATTGTGCGTGTGGCTGCTACATACTTATTTTACAGTTCGAGAGGTTTATATGCTTTTCGGCTGTGACGTCGTATGTGCGGTCAGTTGACAGCGGCAAGACTTCTATTTTTAGAACGCTTTTAACACGCCGTCTCCTCTGCTAAGTAGTGTGAGATTGATGATGGGAAAAAAAAAGTTTAAAAAGCAGCGCCTCCCTAATGACGAGCTGTGTACAACTATGCGACCCGAAATGGCCCCTTGTATTAACCACTAAAATGTTTCTTAAAGGTTTTGGAAGTTATAAGTTAACTTATGAATTATGGGTTAGATAGATATATATTTTTAACAACTACTTAATTTTAAAACATTCAAAACGAAAGTAGTCTCTTTTCATCGTTACAGAGGACTTTTTAACTCCCCCTTCCCCAATCACCTAACGCTTTCTACTGATATGAAATGGAAGGATAATATTGAATCCTAGGCCTGATGCTAGGACAGGTGGTTTATTGTGCCGTGCAATTTTTCTCGACAGAATCTGTCATACATATTTGTATATCTACCATTCATTCATACTTCGAGGATTGCTATCACTTCTGGTATACTGCTTCTGCTATGAATTTAGAAATTCTCGAGGAAAGCCAAAGAAGAATTGTCAATGTTATCGCTCATCACCTGGCATCTCGGCTTCAGTTAATTCCTCTCCCCCATATCGTAGCTTCCATGTGCCTTTACTATAAACATTTTCTTGTTAATTGCTCTAATAATCTTTTCTCTTTGGTGCTTCGACTTTAAAAATTTAAGCCCAATTGGAAACTAGGTTTCATTAATATACACTTCAAATTGCCAGGTAGAACCGTAAGTTCTAGGCTAACAGTTTCTTCTTTCACGGTTTTCACTAGTGGCACTTTTTCGACCTCTTGCTTTCCAGTTATCATTGATATATATATATATATATATATATATTTGGTTGGATAGATGTGAGTTTGTGACCCTGGGTTTCACGCTTTAGCGATCGTCAGACAAACTCTATCCAACCAAATATGTTAGCTCTATCTCTGATATTGAGCGCTTTCTAATAAGTACCTGCATATAATATATAAATAATTATACATATATATATATTTATTTATATTTATATTCACTTTTCATATATATATATATATATATATATATATATATATATATATATATATATATATATGAAGAAATATAGTTTTAAGGTGTGCTTTATTTATGGGATAAAGTGCTCAATATCAGAGATAGAACTTATGTAAATATAAATATAAAAGTGAACATTGAAATCAACTCATATATTTCATATATATATATATATATATATATATATATATATATATAAAACTCATATATATATACATATATATATATATATAAAACTCATATATATACATATATATATATAAAACTCATATATATATATATATATAAACTCAAGTAACTGATGGTACTGTGTGTGTTCATATATATGTCTATGTGTTAGTGAGTTTATGCATCTCTCTGTCTGTGAACGTTTACTTTATTTTTGTCCGTTTATGATCATTACTACTGACTAATATCCTATTTCCTCAACGCTACCTCACTCAGACCCCCTCACCTCAACATAACAAGCGACGAGTTAATGCTGCTACTGTCTATGATTGTCAGTAGCGTTAAATTTAATTTGGCTTTTCTCAAAAGATGCATTCCGCAAAAAAAAACTTATATTGTACGGAATAAATTATTTAAGATGGACTTTTAAAAACAATAATTTGAAAAAATGTGTTCTTTGAAAAACAGGGCATACAAGACATATAGAGATTTCTTTAGAATTAATTTATAAAATTAAAGAAATACATTGCCTATTAAGTATGTCTCTAGCTTCGATAGGACTCAGAACTACGCAGCCCTACTAGCCACGTTAACTTTATTTCATTCTTTTCTTTCTTTGCTTTTTTTATTTCTTTCTTCTTTATTATGAACAATATCAATGAAATGTATTTCGGCCAATATTTTTAGGATCGGAGTTAAAAAAAATTGTTTTGGGTCCAGCTGAAGTCAATAATTGAAACGACGCACGATTTTTGTTGCTTTGAAATAGATATACTTGAATCTTGACTCACTCAGGATGCGCCCGATAAGGGATCCCCGATCACCCCACAGTCACACACACACACACACACACACACACACACACACACACATATATATATATATATATATATATATATATATATATATATATATATATAAGTGAACATTGAAGTCAACACTTAGAGTCGACAGGCTGTTTCATGCTAGACGCAATCGCCAGGCCACCTGACGATTGCATCTAACGTGAAACAGCCTGTCGCCCTAAGTGTTATCTTCAATGTTCATTTTATACTTACACACGCTCTATCTCTGATATTGAGCACTATAAGACTATATTTCTTCATATATATATATATATATATGTGTGTGTGTGTGTGTGTGTGTGTGTGTGTGTGTGTGTTGGAAATTCTAAATACATTTACTCAAATATTCCTTGTCTGTCATGTTGAACGAGACATGTTTAAAAGAATGGTTACTGCCCAAATATATATCACATATTTCTAACAAGTTATTTTTTTCACAATCTTACTAAACTTATCAGTTATCGATGCCTACCCTGATGATGACTTACACAAGTCGAAAGCTTGGACCATATTTCGCGTACTTTTCTACTAAAATGAACGGACAATTTCTGACGGATTTTCTTCCTTGCTTAAGAAAGATTATTTATAAGCACAAAAAGTAAATCATTCCATCTGACCCTTTGTTTTCTATAACTTATTCAGTGTGATGTCCATCCCATTTTTAAGCACGGGGTATTTTTCTCAGTTGACATACTACCCAGTCAGTGTCAATATTGGATATATATA